AATAATATGAGAGTAGAGATACATGGTGACTTTACTGGATCTTCTCTCTTCAGGCGAAAATGAAGCTCACATTTTAACGGAAGGAAATGAATGGAAATCGAAGAAATACATGTCTCTTTCGAAAAAAGACTCTTTTCTTTCAAAACCAAGTTCGGTTAGCGACCCGTAATCAAAACAGAGTCGTAGAACAAACGACTGTAGCTATCAAAAGGTCTACATTTTTGCTTGAAATGTCGAAAAAAAGACGTTTTTCTTGAAAAATTAGTCTTTTGGGTAAAATTTATCAATTTTTGAATATTTTACATCTTCTCTTCGAAAGCAATAATTAGAGCTCGTTTAAGTCCATTGAAATGTAAATTGAATGCAGAAAATGTGTGATAAATCTCGATGAACTTGGGAAAACGAAAAAACAAAAGAGAACAACCGATAATCGAACGAAAGAAATTAGAATAAATTTCATTTTTATTCAAATTAAGATGTTTTCCGCTTCGATTTCTATCAAATGTGTTTTCAAGATGACTTTCATCAAGTGAGAAAGTTAAAAATTGAGTTGGACTCAAATTATTATGAATCATCTCGTTATCAGATCCAAATCCATTCAACGAACATTTGTTTTGACAAAATACCAACTTCGGAACAATTCCACATTCCGCAACGTCTTTTTAAGTGTTACGGAAGTTTGATATTTCCATTTGTCATCATTTATGTCGAATGAAATTGTCACTTTTCTTTTACACAAACAGTCATGCATGTAAACAATTTCTATTTTTCGCAGCGACTTGAAAAACCAAACCACGTATCGAACAACGATTGTGACAAAACGAGTTACGATTGCATGCACAGCACGATCATCGAAGAGAATTTGTAGCAGTTTACATCCGCCAGTGAGTAACGAAAAGCATCCGTGCACAGGCAATTAAAAAGTAGCTAAATTGTTATTTGCATCACTGAACACTGTTTTCGGTAGATGAATCTCAGACACGTAACAATTGTTTTATTGGCGCAAAACACACACAGTATCGCAGCTGAGACGTATGGTTGATGCAAATTTTTTTAATTACAGTCAATTAAGAGAGATTATGGGAAGAGATTTATTACATTCGATTACGAAAAACGACGGGCTTGAAAGGAAATTTATTTATTGAATAATCTCATAAGCCCTGAGGGGATAAATGTTGGTTTTTTGCTTCTTTCGAGAATAAAAGCTACAATTTTTTCAGAGACACACTTACAATAATGAAAGAGACGAGAGGTGAGGTAGAGAGGAACGGAGAGATAAAGAAGAGGGAGTTATAGTGAATCGTGTCCAAAATTCACCGAATGTTTATGAAGAGAAAAAAATTGCCGGCGGGCCATTGAACTTTCCAAAACTACAAATCGAAAAGAATCAATTCGGTACGCCATTGAAAAAGTGACGTTATAAAATTCGATTCGCGATGTAACAATATGACCACAATAACACAAAAAAAATTTTGATCAATACACAACCACATCGATCAAACAATGTACGAAATTGAAAATCGCTCCAAAAGAGTTACCGATTTTTTCTTTTTGTTTCGTAGTGCAGGCGCACGGATTAGCGTTTTTTGTAAATAAAAAAATGAAACAAATTGTCTCTTGGTTTTGCACAATACATTTTTTTAATGTATTCTCTGTACAAAAGCCCAACAATTAGTGCAAAAAAACTGAAACAAAAACGCCCGTCAGAAGAAAAAAAAATCCGAGAGAAAAACGAGACAAAAAAGCCCAAAAGGGAAAAACAAGACCCAAACATAAAAAAACCGTCCACCGAATCTGTGTAAAAATGCTTGAAAAGCAAAAGTGTAATCAAATTACATGCCCACACTTGAAAAACACGCATTTTTCATTTGGTTTAGTATTTTGCCGTATTGTTATTATTTCCGCCAACATCCAAATCGGGATTTATATCGCAAATACGAAAAAAAAAATAAGTGAAAGAAGTGAAGAAATTGTAATATCGCTTTACATGGTGTGGCATAATTGGTTTTTGGTGTGTACATGATTTTTGATTAAAGGAAAAACACATTTAACACAAATATGGTTTTCTTTTTCACTTGAATAAAAATATGGCAATCAAAGTTGCGATCTTTTCGAAACGAAAGCGCGCGCGAGACATCAAATATACTCGTAAGTCGAAAACAGGAAAACTTGCATTTTTTTGCAGCCGATAAAATGCTGCCGAGTGAAACAGACACTGTGCTGCGCCAGACACTCACAAATATGTAATTGCATAGAGTGCATGTAGTACAAAATACATGGTCGATTTATCGTCACCCACACGCCCCACTCTCTAATTCACCAATTTTCATGCAAATCGTTGTTTTTCCAGCATGATTCAATTAGCATTTGACTTGGCCTACTTTAAGCAGTGCACTCGGTCGACAAGCATCCAATTTTTGATCCCAAAACAATCAATTTATTTGAATAACAATTGCATACTCATTGCAAAATCGAAACTTGCATGCAAATTGACGGGTGCTTGTGACTCTTTTTCACAGTTGAGTGTGAATCGATTTTCGATGACAAACGGCCGTTCGTCGTATTGATGATGATGAATACAAACATTCAACGAACTTCTTTTTTTATTGCTACTTTTCTTGACGATATAAAAAAGAGAGTGTTTTGTCACCGCCTTTCCAAGTTTTCTTTTCAGTGGAATTTTCTTCGGCGAACGATTCACTTTGATGTTTTCGACGAAAATCTGTCTTTTTTAATTTCTTATTGGACTTTTGAAAGATTATTATTGTTTCTTATTGTGTGGTAAGTCACTCAAAAGTCATTCGTATTTACTTCGTGTCTCCTTCATCGTGCATTCTCCCATTCTGAAACCATTGGCATGTGTAAATCTGCAAGTTAAATATTTGCGCATGATGTGGCAATCAAATCGCGGCGGTGTATATCATTCAATATGTAAAATTTGTTCTACTTGGTGAGCCATCGTTGTCTTTTTGTAGGTTTTTTTTTGGGTTTGTCAAAGCATTTCGCGAAAACAATGAAGGCGTTGTTGTTAAATTGTGTGCGTTCACTCGCTTCCATACATAAATCGTGACTCAAGTATGAAATGAATAGAATTTTTTTCATTCTGCTTTTTTATTCGTTGTTTAAGCGAGCGAGTGCATTGTTTCGAATTGACCAAGAAAAAAAAACGGTCAATCTAAGCAAAATTATTAGAATGGGGAAAAAAGAAGCATTAGAATAAGCAGAAAAATTGTCGTCAAAAATCCACTCACGTTAAAATTGTGAATATATGTATATATATTGAACGCATTGCATATTGATATGAAAGCGGCTTAGTCGCACACTGAAACCGAGCGGACTAGCGCAAACATATACACAGATGTACAAACGGCGCGAGTATCAGAGTTCAATGCTCTGTCGAGCCGTGTAAGTGGGTCATCGAATCCATATGCACATTTTTTTAATGCAGAAATTCCAAACCGTATGCGCCGCAGGTCTACAATTGCAGTTCATAAATTTTACGAAGATTTTTTTTTATTTACGACGGATTTGTTGGATTGGCGAAAAATTCGCGAGAGGGAGACAGCGAGAAGGAAAGAGAAATAGGAGACGGAGACAGAAGAAGTTGAAAAGAGAGACGAGAAAGAAAGAGAGAGAGAAAAAGAAAAAAAGGGAGAAAGAGAGAATAAAACAGAGTAAGACATGGAAAAGGGACCGAATGCGCTCTTTAGAAGAGAAGAAAAACTGAATGAAGAGAGAAAATGTCGAAACAAGAGAAAGATTTAGTGAAATCGTTGATCTTCTCTTTCGTTTGCTTCGTGATTTCATGAACTCCACTGTATTTTCATTGACCACAAAATCGCATTAATCGTGCATAAATGAGTGGATTTAAAGCCGAACGAACCCGTAAACAAGGCTGACTCCATGACTGAGCGATGTGATCAAGTGTAAATTTTTTATCTCGATGATGTGTGTGTGGCTTTTTTTTACCTCTCTCGACCTGTTCCCTTTCGGTTTTTTTTCTCTTTTTTTGTGTGTATTTCCAACATGATGAATTGCCAGAAACACTTTCGATTCGCTAAATGTCTTTTGGAATTTTTTATTTCTCGTTCAAAAATTAATCGGTTAATTCATCGCAATAAAAGATGATCGTAAAATCAAAATGATAAACAAGAAAAACAAAACACCATTCGCCTCAAATAAAACGGTGTAATTTGTTAGGCAGTATAAAGTTGATGGGCCGCTTGATTGAAACAAAGCCGAAAAAAAAAACAAATCAATGAATTGCGTAAAATGATAAGACTTGTTGACCGATGACGAGTTCATTCACAAGCATCGCAGCACCTTTCTCATTTCGATCGATTTACCGTTATTATTGTGGTCATAACCGCAGTGTGAAAGAGTTCGCGGTTGATTTGCATTTCACATGGCTGAAGGCCCACAAGGGTTTTCATTCATAAAATCTGTAATCACACACATTCCACTGTCAAACCAACAAAATCGATTAATTTTTCATTTCGTTAATATTTTTGCGGCTAGATATAGACCGATAGATATTATTAAATTAATATTTACGCCATTGTGCAATGTGAGTGGCAACGAACCAGGTACACACAAACAAAGCGAAAAGTAAGCGCGTTGAAAGTACCTAGGGCGAAATTCCATTCGAATGGCGTGTGTTGAACACATAATTTTTCGATTGCTGTCGTCGTTGTGCTACACGATGGAATGCTACCTAGCCAAACTGGTTCGAATAGCGAAAAACTTATTATTATTACTATTATGAAAGAATTTTGTTTCTTTTTTTTCTATCTCGCCATACACGTTGTAAATGTACGAACATAAAATGAACCCATTTATAAGCAAGCTATCATTTATTAACATGTTCGATGTCGCACTTATTATTATTGTATAATTCAATTAATAATAAACATTTTAATGTGCATTTTGAAATGCATGCTTGTGCTCAAAAACATTTCAATAAACATTTTTTTAATTCTTGGCATTTTTCTGTCTTGCAGGTTGTAACGATGCGTCGTGAAGTGGCAACGATTTAAAATCCAGCAAAAAACACAATTTACTCGAAGAAAATAAAATCCGAAACAATTTAGTGTAATGGAGACCATGGAGTGGTCGGAAGGAGACTTGGTTTGGTTCGATACAAACATCGGCCATCCGTTGCCAGGGGAAATTCAAGAAGTTCATCGGGCCGCACAAGTCATCATCGTTCAAGCTGTTATTAATGGAAAGGTGAGTCATTTGGTTTTGAAGTAGTTTTTTTGGAGGAATTTATTTGAGGTTTTCTGCTTCTGTTGACTTAAAAAGTTATTGTCACTGATCATTTTCTTCGTCGCTAAAATAAGATTTTTGGCAAAAAATGAGATGGGGTTTAACAGAGAAGAAAGAGGACTTTCGGAAAAGAAACAAGACTTTTGGAAAAGTCTTTGACCTTTTGAAGACTTTTGGATAAAATCGCGAATTTTTAGAGACGAAAGCGAATTTTCGTGGAGAAAAGGAATTTTCTATGACTAAAAGTGAGCTTGAATGATGCATTAAGGCGAATTTCTGGCGATGAATTGAAAAATTGGTCTTCAAGTCATACCAAAGGGTTAAATCAATATTTTTTTTTATTTTTTCATAATTTTTTCTATAAAAAAATAAGACACACAGAAGAGTCGTTTTCCAGAACGAAAATTCGTTAATTTTTTCAACAAACCACACTTTTTTCACTTTAGAAATAAACATCCAAAAGTCCAAGGAATAAAAATATATTACAAAAACAGAAAATCAGCTTCAAACGATGAAAGTTCAAAGTCTTTATTCAATAAAACCATAAATTTAATATTCACGAGATGAACATCAATGTAAATCATTGTTTTCTGTTCATATTCATCTAAAACCAAACCGAGAATTTCATGTGAATAGCGTGTGTGATGCAATTCAGTGAAAAAAAGTAGTTTCATTCGCTGTCTAACCGCGAATCGCAAAATATAAATGTCAATTCGTAGCAAATCCCGTAACATTCAGCTACTTTTTTCTGGTTTGCCATAAATGCTATTTAAACGTATTTTTGTGTATGTGTGTATTTTAAACATGGTGCAAGTGAAGCACATCGTTCGATGTGTACAAATAATCTTTATTTTTGTTTGTTTTTTTCGGTCGTTTTCGTTGTGAGCAGCACCAAAAACTGGTTTGCCTTGACGTTCTTCTTCGGTTGCATCGTCGAATGGTGCTTGGTTAAGGTGCCTTCTTTCAATTTATGGTCTTTGTTTACAAATTGTGACATTTAATACGCGCATTCTTTTTGGATTCTCCTTTCGGAGCGACGTTGTAGCGCTTTTCTTCACATTCTTCAGTGGTTCTCACTGATATTTACATTATTTTTGAAGAGAAGACACGTTGATTGGGCGTTTACTAGATGGCAATTTACTTCTACTCACATTTGACATTTCGATCGATCTATAACATGGTTAAGTAGCATCAGGTTCTTCTAATCAACAAACAGTGTTCGAATGTGCGGATTGAATGATGGAAAAAATGGTCGGAAGCCAATTCAAATGAATTTCATAACACTTGAAAACGGCGAATCAGGTTTTAATTTATGTAACCAGTTTTTTATTTACCTTTTTCTTCTACCTCGGTGTTTTGTGCTGTTTGTTTACCTTCTCTAACTTTTCTAAGCACATGCACAAAACGATCTCATCGCCTCAAGTGCTTGCAATCTTAATTGTTGTTTGAAGGGAAAGACAAAACCTGATCCATTCCGATCGATTTTCATATGTGTGAATTGAAACAGTTTTTCATCATCGCTCAACTTAAATTCCACAAGCACCGTAAGCACGCCTACTTTCCATAATACTCGTGTCGCCAATGATAACATTTTCTATTGTTTGAGCGAGATTTCCGTATTGTTGTTTTTTCTCCGTCGAGTCGACAATGTTGCATATATGTGAAGCCGGATTGCTTCTCGATTCAAATTTTTCTTTCAATTCACCAGAAATTCGAATTGAAAAATATGTTTTGCACACGAAAATTTCCCATGTTCGATCTTCTCTTTAACAAAAAAAAAAAAACAATTTCATTCGCTCAATATTGTTCACACATCACTGCAATTGTTTTGTCGCACAATGAACCGCCGTCGTCCACCGCCCATCTCCCATCGGTACCGATCATTGCGGTAAAGCGATCTTTCGCTCAAAACTGGCTCAGCGACGAGTTCGTTCGGCGAATGCGAGCAAATGTGAGTAACCTTCACTCCAACCGACCGCCGATGTATATTGTTGCTTGCATCACAAAGCAATAATATGTGGATCGTTCTTGCATTTGCAATAAATGTCCAGTTAATATGCTAGAAAAAAATATATAGAAAAACCACACACACACACACATACACAACGCCCGTTTGTTGTTGCTGATGATTATGATTATAGTTCCGCGTATGTGCAATCTCCGTTCTCTTTTTTCTCAAAACAACTTGATTCTCTTCTAGTGTAAACAAGTTCAAGTTGTTTTTTTTTTTTACTCTTTTGCGCACAAACATTCCGATGCACAACGGTTAGATTGTTTTTCAAACGGTTAGCAAACGATCCAGCTTTCAGTTGATCAATTGTAATAGGAGAGTGTAGATGAAGCCAAAATAGTGCAATTTTTTTTTTAGTTCAAGTTGAAGTTTCCGAAATGTGTACGACACATTTTTAACGCAAATACAACGAGTTCAATGAGAATTGTGCGCTTTCATTTGGAACCATGGCAAAAAGGCGGCTCGGGCCTTAGTAGTCCGTCGTCAGTGTCATCGTTACCGATTCTATCGGAATCGGTGTTGAGACGACAACGGTGCTCTAGCATTGACGATCTATCCAATATTGACACTAATCTATTTGAACGACGATCGACATCACATTCATCTAATTCAAGACACAGCAGCTGTTCGAAACGAAAAGTACCACAAATGGTGAAGCGATTGACCATTTTATGCAGCGATGTTTTGGCCAAAAATGTAATTTGAAAGCAAGATAAAATAGAAAAAGGCTGGAGTTTTACTGAAAAAATAAGAATAATTACAATTTTTGATCAAAATTAAGCCAATTTGAGGAAAATTATTTTGATATATTTGAAAGTTGTGTCTTCGTTCATATTTATTTTCAAGAAAAGTGTGATTTTCATGTGAAAAATTGAATCTTTCTGGGAAATAGTGATTTTTGAAGCGAAATTTTAGTTTTCTTCACAAAAAACGTGCTTTTACATGAAAATATTGAAAATTTTAAAGTCTAATTTTCCAAAGAAAATCGTTAATTTCTCCAATTTAATTCAAAATTCCGTTGAAAGGACGCGAGAAAACTCAATTTTTTAAGATAAAATGTCATTTCTTGTGACTAAACTAGTCAAGTGTTCAAAGAATTTGAAAAAGTGGTTGTTTTAAGTTGAAAATGATATATTTTCTGTATGATTTAAATGAAATGTTGGTTATTAATTGTAAAGAATGAAAGAATTCCGTTTTCTCTTTGAAAGCTCAAACTTCCTTCAAAAAAAAAATGATTGAATAAAGCTCATCAATTTTTGAACTTGAATATTAAACCCCTCTTCCCTTCTTACAGCCACAGACCTTCACATTGGGCCCTGGTGAAGGTAGCCTCCAACGTCGCCAGGATCTGGGCAGTGGTGGTGTAGATGATATGACCCAATTAGAAGACTTGCACGAAGCGTCTCTACTATGGAACTTACGGATCCGTTACGATGCCGGTCAAATTTATACATTTGCTGGCTCCATACTGATTGCTGTCAATCCATACAAAATGATTCCCGATTCGTATGGCATTCAAATGGCGAAAAAATATGCTGGCAAACCGTTGGGAACGATGCCACCGCATTTATTTGCAATTGCAGCCGCAGCTCATGCTGCTTTGCCAACACCGCAAGTGATTGTAATTTCCGGTGAATCCGGTGCCGGAAAAACTGAATCAACGAAACTAGGTGAGTCATTTGGTTTTAAAGTAGTTTTTCTGCTTCTGTTGACTTAAAAAGTTATTGTCACTGATCATCTTCTTCTTCAAATTTCGAAACTAGTGATGCAATATTTGGCAGCTGTGGTGCCGGGCGGTGGAAGTGCATCAGCTGTTATAACTGAACAAATACTCGAAGCAGGTCCATTACTCGAAGTATTCGGTAATGCACGAACAACCAGAAATGACAATTCATCCAGATTTGGGAAATATGTTGAAGTTTATTTTAAAAATGGTGCCATTGTTGGGGCAAAAATTACACAATATCTATTGGAAAAGTCTCGCATCGTTACACACGCACCGGGAGAACGGAATTATCACGTTTTTTATGAACTATTTGGCGGATTGAGCGAAAATGAACGCGCCAAATACGGATTGCTCGATGTTAACAAGTATTTTTACTTGAATCAAGGCGGATCGGACTGTGGACCGGGCCGCGTTGATTGGGCATCACTTCAAGGTGCCATGCAGGTTCTGGGCGTTTCCGACAAAGAACAAAATGGAATAATACGCATGCTGGCGTCGGTACTGCACTTGGGAAATGTAAGAACCATCTTTCGATGAGAGAAAAATAGAAATTGAATTGTCTTTTTGTTTTGTGTAGATCTACTTCCATCGTCGTCAGTTAAGACACGGACAAGAAGGCGTTGAATTGGGTTCTGATGCCGAAGTCAAATGGGCAGCACATTTACTACAAATATCCGACGAGGATCTATATCGGACACTTACAACTCGAGTAACAGAAACAAGAGCCGAACGGTTGTATACGCCATTGGGCATTGATCAAGCACTCGACTCTCGGGATGCATTCGCCAAAGTGCTTTATTCTGGTCTTTTTAATTGGTTTGTTCAAGTCTAAATTTCACCGTTGTCAAACGATTTTTTAATGCTTCTCTTGCTCTTCCCCAGGTTGGTGTCTCGTATCAATTCAATTGTGCACAAAGGTGGAACTCACGACGCATTTCGCATTTCAATCCTCGATATTTTCGGTTTCGAAGATTTTCCCGAAAATAGTTTCGAACAACTTTGCATCAATTATGCAAATGAAAACCTCCAATTGTATTTCAATAAGCATGTCTTCAAACTGGAACAAGCCGAATACGCTCGTGAGCGTTTAGAATGGAATCCGATGCCATGGGAGGATAATTTGCCGGTAATACACTTATTGGCCAAGAAACCGGTTGGCATTTTCCATCTCTTGGACGACGAATCGAATTTTCCGCGTGCCAGTGATTTAAGTTTTTTGGAAAAATGTCACTACAATCACGCCCTGAACGAACTGTACTCGCGTCCGCGTATCGGTGCCCAAGAGTTCGGTGTAACGCACTATGCCGGTCAAGTTTGGTACAATGTCGAAGGATTTTTGGAGAAAAATCGTGATGCCGTTCGACCGGATGTGCTTGAATTGCTCACCACCAGCGACCTACCAATCATGAAAGAGATTATCAAACAATTACGTGCCCAGAGAGACAATACAAAATCACTGCCACGCGGTGCAAATGGTCGTTTTGTCACAATGAAACCGCGTACACCAACGGTTGCTGCCCGATTTTCGGATTCTTTGCAGCATTTGCTTCAATCGATGGCCAAATGTAATCCATGGTTCATACGTTGTGTGAAACCAAACAATGATAAACATGCACTGCGCATGGATATGCCATGTGTATTGCAGCAACTTCGTTACTTGGGCATGCTGGACACAATTCGAATTCGTCAAAAAGGCTATCCGGTTCGATTGCGTTTCCAACATTTTGTCGAACGGTATCGTCACATGCTAAAAGCACCACTTCCCCGTGGTACACCGTATCGTGATTTGTGCCGAAGTGTGCTAGAAACAATTCCAGCAACACCGGTTGATGGGCCCGATTTTCAATTGGGCGCCACTCGTGTTTTTCTACGCGAGGCCATTCATCGTGTGCTGGAAAGTAATCGCAGTGAACGTCAACGTGATGCGGCCGTCATTATTCAACGAAACGTTCGTAAGATGTTGACCAAAAAGCATTCATTGCGGCGCAAACGTGCAGCGACCAAAATTCAAACGGCTTGGAAAGGATATCGTGATCGTAAGCGTTATCACAATTTGAAACGTGGAACCGTTCAATTGCAAGCACTGTATCGTGGACGACGTCAACGAAAAATGTATCAAAAGCTCAAGGCTGAATTACAGCGTCGACGAAATTTGGAGCGAACAAAACGAGAACGACACCAGAAGGCAATGGCTGCCGTTGAACAAGAACGAAGTCATGTCGTTCAATTGGACGTCCCGGCTGAATTGGCATTCATCTTTTCGAAGTTAGACGGATGGAGTTCACTGCATGGTGATCGTAATTTGGTTAAGGTCGTCGGAACCGTACCTGGGCCACCGAACACATTCGATTTGCCGGGTGATTTGGATCAATTTGCATTCAGTAAATTCAGCTCGGTTTATTGCAATGGCGTAAAATTGGCACCACGTCGCGAACCAATCACGACACCATTCTTATCACGAGCCGCATCACGGGATGAAGACTTCCAAAGTTCGCTGGCCGTCTTTAAATTGATTTTACGATGGGCAAACGATAAAAATCTGGACAGTGCCAAAGAAAAGGCACTCGCTGACTACATTGTGCATAAAGGTCAGTCATCGCGTAGCGTACGTGATGAGATTTACGTTCAACTCTGTAATCAAGTCTACAAAATGGATGAAATGCAATCAATTCGCCTGTGGCAGTTGATGGGTCATTGTTTGTCGTCATTCCAACCGGGTCCCGCTTTGCATAAATATTTAATCAAATTTATCGTTGACAATGCACCGTTGCCGATTAAAGAATCACTATTGCGCAAGCTTTTACGAAATTCTGCATCACAATTGAGTACCTGTCGTTTGTATCCACCGACTTGGTTGGAATGGCGTGCAAATGCACGAAATTCCGACATTGCACTCAGTTTAACATTGCCAGACGATGCAACACAAACGGTTGCCATTGATTCATGGACGACGTGTGAAGAGGCGGCCACCTTGGCACTTTCATCATTGACCGTGCCACCACAAGGATGGACGGTTGTACTTGACGATTCGGGATTGGTATCCGATTCAAACGGTTTGGATTTCGTTTTGGATTTGATTTCAGAGAAAGAACTTTGTCCAGCATTCCCAACGGTTCGTAGCGATCTATTGAGATGCGGACGAAAGAATTCGAAAATTTCGGTTGCACAAGAACCGGAAAGTCCAAATCCAAAACGACCGAATATACCACCACCCGAACCACCGATGAAACGACATTCGATGAATGAACGGATTGCAGAACAACCCATTCCACAGCCGGTGGTTGATAACAAACCCGAATTTGGTAATCGCAATTTTGAAAGCGTTCAACGCAAAACATCACATGATCTATTGTCGAGAAATTCAGCGCTTAATGATCGATACTTTGAAACGGAGAAAACACGATCGAAATCAATGGACGATTTATTGGCGGGTGAAAGTGTTGCTGATAGCAATGCCGAAGTTATTTCACAAACCGAACAAGATGAAGAAAATGAAGAATTGGCCGAACTGGGATTGTCGGAGAGCAGATTGAACGATAGATATCATTCGGTTGAACGATTAGCACCGTTGAGAGAAACACCACGGTATCAGAAATATGCAGGCAGGCGATCGGCCGGACATTCGAATAAGTATATGGAACGAACCGATTATGCGACCAGATCATCGGCCATGTCGGGTAAGTTGAAGATGGATCAAAGTCCGATATTTGACGGTTTTCTCTAATAACATGCTCTTTTGTTTTGCAGACACAAGTGAAGCTCCATCGCTTGCAAGTCACGTGCGCCGCGTTCGTGTACCTTCAAACGTGGATCAATTCTCAGACGTTGATCAATACTTGGATGATTTGTTCAGTCCAGTCTTGGATGGTTCGTTGGACGAATTGTCCGATGCGCGATCATTATCAACTAGTATTCGTGGTGGACGATCGGATTTCTTTGAAGCACCCGAAATTAATCAAGATTTTGACGATTTACAATCAGCAAATAAATTGGAACGCGTAATTAAAGGAGGTGGCCATAAAAATGATGGTAAAGAAAACGACACAAACATTGATAAAGAAGTCGAAGATTTGACTAGTTCCGGAATTTCATTAGACGACTATATTACAGGTAAGCCACGTGAATTTTTTGATCTTTGAAGACTTTTTCTAAAGAAAATTACCAAAAAAAATCCTTTCTAATCTTCTTTGTTTCTCTCGAAAATTTCAGAGCTCTTCCAGCCGATCTTCGTAAATGATTCGCTAAAACGTTTAACCGAAAAGACCGAATTGGCTGACTCAATCAAAGGAGGCGGTACCGCTCATCAAACTCAAAGTTCATCAAATGGCTATGGAACGCCATCAAAACTGAATCCAGTCCTAGTAATGGGAACCAATCCCGAAAACTTCACATCAACATCATCGGTTGACAAAACAGATTTGTCACGAGCCTTCTTAAGATCGGCAATGGAACAAAATCTGCAAATTCAACAACAATTGTTGGCTCAAAATCAAGCTTTACAAACGCTCCTAAGTCAACAAGACACTGGCACTGCGTCCAGTTCAAAAATCACGCCACGCAAACAAAGTTTCAAATCGCGTCCATCCTCTTCGCCATTCAATGGTGATTTCGATCGAAATCGAAAGTCTTCTGCTGAAAGTAATTCACATGTTCCACCGCCACCACCACCGCCAATGCCTCCGCCAATTGAATTTAACGATCCGTCTGGTTCGCGGCCATTCCTCGATCCATACGGTCGCGCCAAAACGGTTCGCATTGGCAAATGGGTTTGGCCACCAAAAGGCAGCAGTGCTCAAGCGCCAACCGATGAAAATTTCATGGAATTCAAAATGCGACAAAATCAACGAAAAAATACACCACAATCGAATACCAGTTCACCGAACAGCGCTCAAATTGAATGGGATGAATTCGAAAATGTGGAAAATGTAATTGTGAAAAATGGCATGAGTGCAACCAGTACGCCAGCACAAAATTCACGTAAATTCAGTCAAGAAAATATTATCCAAACAACGACAACAACAACAACACATGTTACAAAGGCGGGGCGTCGAAGTTTCGAAATTGGAGCTGATCGTCCGCCACCGGGTAGTGTGGGTAAATTGAAATTGAGCTCAGAAATGCGACAACGTTTGGAACAAGTGACCGCGGGTCATTCGGTGCGATCATCAACGAGCACCGAATCAAATCAACGTGCACCGGCCAAATTGGAAGATGCACGGCGAATGATGTTGCAACAACAGTTGGGTGGTATGTTTGGATCGAGCGATAAATTGGATGAACCAGATTTGCCATCGGTTCGAACTCAAGTTAAACGAATGGAAGCGGCAAAAGGTGTCATTCCACCAGCTCCGAAATTCCCACCGCCACCAATTCCTGGTATGATGCAACCCATACAGAAACAACAGCAGCAACAACAGCAGCAGCAGCAGCAACAGCAACAACAGGAACAACAAGAAATTCCGTCGTTCTATCAGAAACGGCATGACCGTGACACCTTTGGTATTCATCAATCGCAACAGAATTGGAATGGTTCCGAAATTTCAAAAGACACATACGATTCATGGGGTCGAGCCGAAGCGGCCAAACATGACATTTTCGATCATAAAAAGGAGAAAAATGAACGTGAACCACGATCAAGATCGCGATCACGTGATCGAGAGAATTTCAGCGAATCGGTTTGGGACCGCAATGAAGTGGAAGGTGAAAGCGAAACCCGCGAACGCATGAAGGAACGCGAAAAACACGATCGCATCTATGAAATGAAGCAAGTCGAACGTGAACGTGAAAGTCAAAAAGTGTATCAACCGTCATCGTCAAACAAAGTGCAATTGTTTGAAAAAGAAAAGGCAATCAAAAAATCACCAGCTCAAATGATTGAACGGGCCACATTCAAAACACATATGGCTCGAATGGATCGAGAGAGGAAAACTTCAGCATCAACACAAATCACACAAAGCACTGATAAACCGGACGATATGACCGACATTGAATGGCCATCAAATGCACCACCCGCACCAGTGCCACCGGTATCAAAATTGCCAGCGGCAGCTTGTTTAACTTATAATCGTGTGCCATGGAAATTACGTGTACGTAAAGAAGTATTCCATCCAACCGAATCGATTAGTTCGCCAGCAACACTTGATTTACTTTTCGCTCAAGTGGCAGCCGATGTATTCGGTTTGACATCATGCTTACGCATTTCACCGCAAGAAAAACGAAATGCATTGAATTTACTGGCTGGTCACGGTGTCACCGTTGAAACATTGAAAAATCAACAAGTTCGTGCCATTGTAAAGCGTCACATGATTGACATGGCCCGTGGTTGGCCATTGTATTTTGCCAGATTATTCATTGTTAGCGGTTCAACACAATTTCCAGAGGTGACTTTGTTGGCAGTTTCACATAGTGGCGTTTATTTGGCACGCCGCGAACCGGAATTTGTCAGCGTTGTTCGTTCTGTGCCATTGGCCGAACTACAAGGGGCTATCACCTTGCCGCGTCCGGCAGCACTTCAACTTAATTTGAAGAATGGTAATCGCATCGTTCTTCATGCACCACGGGCTACCGCTATTCAAATTACGATTCAGACATTCTGTCAGGAGTATAAGAAGGTAAGCGACGCATTTTTTAAATAAATTATTTTTATTTCATTTCTTGGCATTTCTGATATATTTCTGAGGTTTTGGTGTATTTTTGTGCAATTTACGTTCCATTTTAGTTTTGTTATTAAAACGACGATTTTCTGGATAAACATCAAGAAATATGTGGCTTTGAAAATTTCAGCATGTTAAAACGCCTTTGACTGTTTTAAACATTTTTCCATTAAGATAAGAAACTGCAAAGATCAATATATCGTTGTCGCCCACACACATTTAATTGCCTTTCAATGTTTGTTTTTTGGTGTTGAAACCCAAATACATTTTCCCTTCTGTGATACGGTCTGTTTAGGTATTAAATTATGATCGCAACAAAACGAAACCATTTTTCACTTGATTTTATCACAATTTCATCTACTGCTGCTGATATTCTCCTTTCTGTTTTCATTTTGTTTGACTAATTGCTTTCTAAGTGGGTAATTCAATTAGCTGGTTTACCTTGTTACTTGTTAGGCTCTCTTTTTATCTAACATATACGAGAGAAAATAAACTCATAAGCATGAGCGAACCGAAAACTAAAGCACATTGACCACTATTTAAATGAAACACATTATCGCCAATTAAACACATACTTCTGACAAATTATCAACGCAATTTCATCAAAATATGCAAGAGATTTTTTGCGCTAGCCAAAACTAGCCACTGACCAAGCGAAGTGGTTTTTTATGTTTATGTAACCATTTCACTGAGCTGAATAGCAAATATTTACCTTGGATTTTGAAAAGAGAGAGAATAAACGAGAATTTGATAGATGCAGCGATAAATAGATAGAGAAAGAGAGGGAGAAATTAGAAGGAGAAAGAGATGAGAGAGGAGAGAGAGAGGGAGAGAGATAATATAAGTAGGAAAGTGAGAGAAAATCTAATGCGACTGCGCGTAAAAGTAGTGAAGCAAATTAAATTGGAGCTAGTTTTGAACGTGTTTTGCCTCCAATTTTAATTAAACACCATAAATTCAGAAGGTTTTTTTCTTCCAAGAATCTTTTTTTTAATCTATAATTTTTGCAGAAAATTAGATTTTCTTTTTCGTTCGAAAAAATTGGGTTTTCAGAAATTATGATTTAATATTGAGAAACCTTATTATTTAAATCTGCAGATGTTGACTTTGAAAAATGAATTTTGAGAAAGATTATTGAACTCCATTTCGATGAAAATTGAGTTGTTAACGACATTTTGTGAATTTTTCTGATTGAGAAGTGGAGATTTGGTTTGAAAAAGTTTGCTTCATTGCTGGAAATGGAGTTTTTCCTGAAAAATCCTGTTTTTACAAGAAATTATCGCGCTAGTCTATTAAAATGAAATTTCTTCAAAAATTGTTCTGGCAGACGTACAAAAGTCACTGAATCAGAATCTAAGCGGCGTTTTTTAGTCGAATAGAGAAGGCAAGACAATTTTTCGTCTTATTTCAGCAAAAGCTGATTTTATTCAGTAGAAATACTCTTTTCACAAATGACAGTGCGATTCATTGGACATATGAATCGTTGCGGCGAAACAGTGGGTCTTATTTTTCTCCAAATAATTCTGCAACATGAAGCTTTTTTCACACGGTTTATTTGTTGTAATACAACAAATAAACTATTCATAAAAAAACTTTATGTTGCAGTATTATTTGGAGAAAAATAAGAGCTACTTTTTCGCCGCAACGATTCATATGTACTATGCTGCCTTACTTTGTGCCTCAAAATCCAGCACATCGAGTTTGACTCGAATCAATTCCCGAAACATTCATAATAAATAATCTCATATTTGTTCTGAATCTCCTTGAATTCATAAAGTTTAAAACAGCGTCTGTATTTGCATGCATCGCTTGCAATGTTCCCATCTAAAACTTGTGTCTCGTTAATAGAAACAAGTCTTCTAGATGAAGTGGAATGGAAAAATATTGGCTAGTCGGCATCGTTCGTACTCTATTCATAGAAATCATTTGTTGCGTTCAATTAAACAGTTACTCGTGCCGATTTGAATCGTTTATTCATCGTATTCTCATTATATGTGTTTGCACACGTAAGACGAAAATGTTCCCGATAAACTATATTCTCTATTGAATGATTGTAATATGTACATCGATGAAAATGTCGAGAAACCGTTGTGCTTGCCGCTGCTGTAGCTCCGACTTTCATAAATGGAATGGCTCACTGGTGATCTATAAAAACGGGGCCTGTTTAAACGGAGCCCATTTTTGTGTATACATATCCAAGAGGTACAAACGCTCTGATTGCCATTTTACATTTCATCTCTCATTCACCATCTGATGCAATATCGCTGGATTGCTTTTACCATCACCATTTAACATCAAACATAACGTTGCAATTGCAGTTGTAGCACAATCTTCTTTTTTATTATTCATTCAAAATACAGAAAGAGAAGAAGTATATAAACAAATACTATGTTGTTTTACATTAAAGATCAAAATAGCTCGAACAGAGATTCGTGGAAAGCATTAGTAAATTGGTATTGTTGTTGCTGTTGTCGATTATATCTTACCATCTCTTCGTAAATCGTTGCATACACACACACATTTATTTTCTTCACGGCTCACCGTGCGAACTTACACAAAGCGAGTCAAACACACTTGTGTCAGTCAGCCACTCAGTTGTGATTTTATTATCACACACGCTTAACAGAACTTTGGTGTGCAATTTTTTTTTCGTCGCTCGTTCATTTCGAGTCGCTTTTTTCGACGGTTTTTTAGTCACTTTTCGCCTCTCGACCACTAATGACCATTTGAGATTGAAAAAAAAAGAAACGGGGCGCACTCAGTGTTTGGGAAAAACAAGGCGCTTGAAGAACGGGGAAAAGACAGTTTTGACTGTTGATTGCTGATGACAGTGAATTTAGAGCAAAAATTTTTAACCAGAAGTGAATCTTCTTTTCGTCTTAGTGAACACATTCGATTTAAATCTTCATTGAAAGATTCGAGCAGATGAGAATCATCAAAATTCACCTTTTCCATTCGAAAACCGTAAAAATTGAACAATCGACACAAAAGTTTGTGAAGAGCCGACTCATTTCAATCAATTTTATCATATTTTTTAATGTCTGCAGCTCGCATTATTCAAGTGAATAAACAAAAAGATAAAAAGTGTGAATTTCTTCACAAAAAAAGTGTGAGATTCCTTCGTGTTTTTTCATACCTCTAGCGGTTCATTTGAATATACAAAACATTTGTGAAGAAAAAAGTTGCTAAAAAGCGATAAACAATCGGTCAATTCAACAGTTCAGATGACAAAAAAATTGTTTGTTTCTCACTTCATTGGCGTATATTTGTTCTGCAAATTTATCATTCAAATCAGTGAATCAAAAGATTTCAACGTTTTTTTACTCCAAAAACCCCAAAAAACTGACTTGTGAAAAGATCAAACTGTCTCGGGTGCAGGTGCGTTTGTTCTAATATCTGCGCTGGTATTGTTTGTGAGTGCAGACGATATGTGTTTGACCTAAATTCAGTTTTATTTGTGATAGCCGCGCATGTACGAGACTCATATCTGCGAATCGAGTGAGAGAAACCAGTTTGCTTAAGTGACGAATCGCCTAACATAGAAAACAAAAAGTCGAACGCGCACATTAGAAACCAGATCTGATCATGTTCGCTTTTTTTGCACAC